AAAGACACCACTGACTTATTTGCATGTAATTCAACATTCACTTTTGATAATGTATCCAATCCACCGTATATGAACGGTCAAATTGTGTATCTATTTACACCAGTAATGAATAATGACTGATAGCAAGACTTTCCAAAACAATGCTTTCGACTCTTTTTGGTTTTTAACAAATTTAGCGAAGAACATTACCGTATCCGGCCAGCTCAGGTATCTATTTACCATTTAAGTAAACTGGTAATGAATGATAAATAAACACTCTACAAAGTAACTGACTAAACACTTTCCTTAGAAATAAAAAAATTAGGCTTTTAAGAGATTCAATTAATTAGAATGTAGATAAACCAAAATTAAGTGAAATTTTTTTTTTAGAAAATACATTTAAAAATTCACCGAAACGTATGTATAATAACTAATAAGTAATAACTAATGAGTAATAACTAAGAAGTGTGTAAAGTGTATCAAACATTAAAATTTATTTTAAATTCTGTAAAAGTAACAATGTATAGTCTGTTCAGAATGAGATCGGTACAGGCGGCCAAATAGTGCGCTTGGGCGTGGCTTTGTTAAGTGGCATCGCCCGACTCGTCGCCGTAGTAGGGACAGCGTCTGACCAATGACCAACATTTTCAATAGAACATTTTGATTTTCATTGATATTTTCTGAATATTTTCAACTCTCTTTGAAAATTTTATATTAAATGTATTTTTGTTTACATAATTAATTTTTGAGGTAGCATGGTTGTGGTACCTATGTAAGTTAAATGTTAATCATTTAATAATACAATTTTCATAATTTTCAACTTATTATAACATTTTCATGAAATTGTTCACATCAAAAAATTATCATGAAAATTTATATCTCTAGTCTTGACGGATTGTGACGTAATAATATGGTGTTTGAATGATGTTACAATTACTGTTTATATTGAATATACTATGATTATTAAATACAAAAATAAATTGCGGTTAGTGGTGTATGCTTCCCAACTCAAGTTAGTGCCCGAATTAGGCAGCGATCCTGTAAATTAGCGTTTCAAACACAGTCTTCCGTAATAGTAACACAGTGCTCAGTGGATATATCTGAATTAAATTAAAATGAAATAATATTTGATTTACCTATCGCATTTATTTTATTAATAATAAACCTCATATTTTGTTTCGTAGTCGAAAACGATATTAGTTGAGAGTTGGTTGATAGTTAATGGTTACATTATTATTTTTATCGTTTATGTTGTTTATTGTCTTAAAAAACTTTAAAAAACAAATTTATAGGTAAGCAAATCTTTCATGCATAATTTTTTTTGGAGTTATGTATATTTTATGAGTATTCTGAGATTTGGGGCTTCATTGAATTACCTATATTGGAAACATGACGGTTCAGCGAACAAATAATTTTTGAGTACCTCTGACGTCCGTCCTCTGCAGTAAATACTTTGACGGCATCGACCATAGCACAATTGAATATCAGTGGATTATATTTTAGACAGTGGCGCATCCAGGATTTTTCAGGGGGGTCTCCGCCAATAGCGTATTCAGTAGTTCCCTTAATTTCAGATGTATGCTATTTAATATTCATCGAAAAATGTATATCCAAAATATATAGATAAAAATCACATATAATTTTGGTAGTTGTAAAAAGTTAAGGCTTTTTACAAAAATACTATACATATTAGTCATATTAGAATATTAATTACAAATAATAATAATAATTTTAAATTACAAAATCTAATCGTCTTTTCTCTGAGTTAACTCTTTTAACACGTCATCTGTATCAACTTTAATTTACCGGTGAATATTCAATGCTGCTAATCCATTTAGCCTTTTGTCTGCTATTGAGTTTCTGAGGTTGGTTTTGATTCTTTTTTAAGTTGAAAATAACCTCTCAGCTTCACATAATGTCACGGGTAACGATAAAAGAATTTTCAGTAACTTATAAACGTTCGGAAATAGATTTTTATTACAATTACAGTAACCATTTTTAAGTTGGTTTCCAGCCGTAGTTTAAAAACTTTAAAATTAAATTTAAACTGTGGGAACTGCAATGGATATATATAGCTGTTTATAAACTAAGTTTATATACTTTACTACTCTGTGCTGTTTAGCATACATATAATATGTGGGTTATAATAAAATATTTAGTTTAAACATAATACATTTTCAAATTCCGCATTTATTTTATAAGTTATAACACATTATTATTTCTAAAGCTACAGTTCAAGGGGGGTGTCCAGACACCCAAAACACCCCCCTTGGTTGTGCCACTAATTTCAGATCTATATGATTAAAAAAACAATGCATTATGTGAGAATAACCTCATAGTTTTTCTAACTCAACTTCTCAAGTAAATGGCATGACGCGAAAAGGGTATCCCTGGGCCCTGGGAACATATATATCAATTATCAATTCCGGGATGTTATGTATTGGACACTACTTTTTCATAATATTTTTATATCTCTGTAAAAAGTATTATTAAGATTTATCAAAATCAAGAAATTTTATAATTATTTTTATAATTCATGAGTCATAAATTATTTATTTTATTCATTTATTTTTATTTATTTATTTGTATAAACTCCAAACGGCTTTTTACATATAGCAATAACGATATTACATAAATTAACGTTAGTGATAAGAATAATATACATAAATGATAATGTTAACAATACACTAAAAAATAATAACAATAATAATTATAATAGGAAAAGTACACACGTAAGGAGAATACAAAATTTAAGGCCATATATCAAAATTATTATTATTTAAATTGCGCATAGCTCTAACAAAAGGATCATGAGATAAAAAGTTTGAACGGGAAGTTGGGATGTGAAAGGAATTGGTTGATCTGGTAATGGCGGTAGGAACTCTAAAGCTAATACGCTCAAGGAGACGCGGAGCATCAATTTTACCCTGGATTAATTTTAAAAGGAAGTTACGATCCGCAATTAGTCGCCTTTCCTCGAGGGAGAGGAGATTAAGCGCGCCCATGACAGGTTGGTATGAGTGTAGGGGGTGTTCAATTTTTAATAAGAAGCCTGCATAGTTTAGGAATCGAGTCTGGACTTGTTCAATAAGTTTTATTTCCGTTTTAAGATGAGGATTCCAAATGACTGAACCATAGTCGAGAATTGAACGAGTGAGAGCAGAATAAAGGGTTATAATGCAAGGTGCTGAGTTGAAGTGTTTGGTGTGGCGGCGTATGAATCCCAGAAGACGTAAGGCCTTACAAGTGATATAATCAATATGATACCTATATGAGTATAATATGACAAATCATTTTTCATTGTAAAATTAATATTAAGATCGATTTATGTTGAATAAGATTTTCCATTTTCTGGGGTAAAGTTTGTAGGGCAATCTTTAGTACGCAACCAACGAATCTAATGCACATATATTTTGCAGAAAATTTTGGTGAAGTTCAGATACGGAGAATAGAATTCTGTACTAAAGAAGATACTTTCAATTTGACTAAAAACATTTTATCTAAGACAATTAGGTAATATCATACATATTATTATGGAATATTGCTTGTTTAATGATTAACAAAAAAAAAAAATGATTCCATTATGGAGGTGAATAAAAATGTATTTTACTTGTTTCCCAATTTTTAACATATTATTTATCATCTATTTTATAGTCTTAACCTATGCAATTTGTAATAAATATCCCTTCCACATTATATAATTCCATCTTAATTTAATTCCATATGCTCAAGCCCAACTTCACTGTAACACAATTATCTTCTTTGTCTGTATATTGTCTCATTAATAATTGCTATTATTACTACTATTTTTTAAATGTATTTTTTCCTTTATACAATTATGTATCACGCATGTACGTATTGATTAGTATTCAATGTCATATATTTTATGTTTAAAATTAAATACAATTGTATAACAAACAATAAATGTTGTTCGAAACAGATTCAGTTTATTTCCGTCGTTTTTATTTGAATTTCTATATAGGTATTTATGTATATACTGCCTACTGGCGTGTTTCAAGAAAAGAAGGGATCATAGTAAAATATTTTCTCATTTTGATGAATGGGAAGTGTAAGTATAATAGTACGGGTGCATTACAATATATAAATACAAAATAAAATATAGCTAAGTAATACTTGCTAATTAATACTAGTTATTATTCAACAGTGATAACAGTGCTGCTGCTCTGTATTAGTTATTATTACTTTTTTTTTGTCCTTGTGTGACAGCTGTTTGAACGACAGTTTTTAATCTCTATAGTTTAGTACTTAATACTTGTTTATTGTGCGTCGTTGCCATAGATAATATAAGAATGGATAGGACATAAGAACTTATCACATGAAAATTTAGTGATACTATTTTTAAGGTTATATAAGGCAAATATTGATATGATAATTGATAAATAATAATAAATAAAATTTATATAATTTCATTTTGTTAAAAATTAAAATATTATTTTCCAATTTCCATTTTCCAGGCACAGGTGGCACAACAATCAAAATACAAACTGACAAATATCTAAATATAACTGACTATCATGTTATTATTATTATTATTTAATAAAATAGTTTTGCACATAACCTTAAAAAGCCTCATATAGTCTTTCTCTCTTTACGTTCTCTCTTCCCCAAAAAAGCACACGGCCTCATATGGAACTGGTATAGGCATGTCCTATCCATTCTTATATTATCTATGGTCGTTGCAACCATCAATTTGCCGTTTTCAAGATTTAATCCATAGTTTTGTCTTCGTATCAAAAATTGCTTAAGTGAGTATTATCACTCGTTTATTCTTATCATTTTCACTTTCCGCCGTTACTCAGTTCAATCAGTCCCAGTGCCCTAGCGTTTTTTCTCTCTGGCGACTTTAACGCTGGGTATCTTGATCCGTTCGCTGCCTCTTACCTTGTGTTGCAGTTGTGTTTATTTAGTTGTATTCTTTAAATTCAAGGCGTAGTTTTTGTTTCACATATACGGTTGCCTTTGTAAATCTCAAGAACCATAATATCCGTCTTCCGTTTACAATGAGTGGCAACCAAGAGAATTTATCTTCTGAGCTCAACAAATGGACAAAACAAATGCTCATTGAGTATATCCTCAAGAGGACCATACCTCCTTATGTAAAATTGAGTGATGACCTGATGTCTCCTCTTCAGCCGACCCTACTAGTGTTGCGCTCATCCTCAAGTCCGTTGTCGATGAACTTAAAACTATCTCCTCTAGCAACCTCAAAATCCATGACAAGCTTAATAAGCTTAATGCCAACTCATCTGCAGGGAAACAATCCGCCTCCCAGGTATCTGTGAAGACTGATCCTGTCAATACTGTCAGCTCCCCCGTTATAAAATCAATACCAGCCAATCTTGATCGTCCGTCTGCATCTCAAAAATTTACTGTTGGCACAAATAGAAAAGCTTTTGCAAATCTCCCAGCTGTGCCTGTGATTAGGTTTGCTGATGTCTTCGTATTCAGGTTCTGTCCGCAGGTCACTTCTGTTCAATTAATGAGTAAACTTTTCCCTAACATATTGGATGTGACTGTTACTCAGATGGGCACCAAACACCCATCTTATGCTTCCTTCCATATCCGGCTGCCAACTGCTCTACTGGATGATGTGCTTCAACCAACTTTTTGGCCTGAAGGGATCAGTACCAATTTTCTTTTAGACTCACTGTCTTTTGGTTTTTACCAAAATTGCCGTGGTCTCCGAACTAACATTAATTTTAATGTTCCCGGTGCTAATTTGCACAACTTTTCTCCTTTCCGGGTCCCGTTCTGTGCGACAAATTATTTATACAATGAACCCATTTTGAGTATTATGATATTAGCTAATGGATCCAATTGCATCTAAACAACTTTTTGTGTCTAATTATTTTGTATTATATTATTATCTGTTAAATATTATGTATGTAATAGTGTATTATTATTATTAATTATTAATGTCATATAAATGTCAAGGGCCTGTCCCGTTTACTATTAGAAAAAAAAAAAAAGTACATATTTTATTAATCAAATTACACGCTGAAATATTCACAGAAGTTATCGCGGAGGCTGATTATAATATTGTTATTATTACTTAGGTACTCATAGGCGCAATTACAATAAAAAAAAACTGAGGAAGCTCTGCATTTTCTAGGAATTCAAATTAAATTAAAAGTATGAGGCATTAATTACTTTTTTTACCAAAATTATTTTATGACAATTTAGAGTGTGCAATAGTAAAAGTGTTACGTATACAACGCTCCAGAGATGGCGTTGTGCGCCGTATCACCACCGTCGCGGCTGGGCGTAACCACGCCCATTGTCTCCGTGGCGAGACCTACGCGGCGTACTCGAAGGAGAGGCGCATTTTAATTTCACGAACAGTCTAGTTGAGCGGGACCATGCATTATTGACATTGACCATTGCGTAAATTGTCACCATTGCATTTATAATGCACGTACCGCGCTCTAGATCCTCGCTAGACTTACTTTTTAATGAAAACTCCTGTTTACTTAAATATGTGTATCAATACATAAATTACAACAAATTTAACCAGATGGCTTGATTTACATTTGTAACCTTATTAGTAATTACTTTTTTAAAATACAGATAAAATAATAATTCTTTATGAGTAAATACAGTTTTTTTATGAGCCGACAGTTTTTTACTCGCGATTTGTGGTTCGACACGTTACATCGTTCTACGTCGTTCGGTCCAAACCGTGTCGAAATCGGTCGTGAATTCCGGGAGAAATCCTATTTTTACGATTTTTGAAGCCTGTTGGCTACTGTGTTACACACAATACTACTTATTGATAAAAAGTGAGCATTGGGGCCGGTGTCGTTGTTGAGTCGGCCTGATTAATCCTGCACTGCATCTTCCCCGAAGGGTTCAGTGCATCGCGGGCCATTTCTTGGCCGCCCAGGTGCCGTAAAAATCGCCCTTCCAGCGCCAGCGCCGCAGATCAGATTACAGTCAAGATACTTGACTTACGATTGCACGCTGTGGCTTGGTGATTGCGGCCCAAGGAGTCGAATCCGGTGACACCCCGTTTGTCGAGCTCCGACACCTAGCGGGTGAGTACCACACGTTTTTCCTTTTTCCCTATATGTTTACACGGCCGCCCAAAACCGCCTTTGTGAAAACAAGAATTCCGAGTAGGTTAGGTTAGGTTAGGTTAGCTGTTTAGTGTTAGGGAACAACTGTAGTTTTGCGACCAGTTGTCGGGAACAAGTGTCGATGGTATCATAGAACATTATAGAAGCGAAACTCGATCAGCTGATTGGGGTATTGGTTCCCTATGATCTGAAGTCTAAACCTACGAAAAACATGGAATTGGTTCCCGCACCAACATGATGTTAGACCCGTATATTAAGATTCTTGTTCCCCAAACAGTCCTCCGGCGAGAAATTTGAATTTACCTCCACCACGGGGGTAAACGCAAAGACGTTCCCAAGGGGTACCGCTTATTTTCAACCTATTGGGAAAATAAGCCCCAACCCCTCCCATTTTTTCGCGGATAACTCAGCCGGGTTTGGCCGGAGAGCTAGGTTAGGTAAGTTAAAATTTACGTAGTGTCCGGCTAAATGTCGCCGACACTGCTGCCAATTGTCGTCGCTGGCTTAATGGTGGTGGCCACCACCACATACTGGCAGGTACTTTCCAAGCCATAAATTATTGTTGTTCGGTACCGACTCTGGCGGCGACAATATAGTGCGGCCAGCGAAACTAGGCGGGTGACCGTCGCGCGCCAGGTGGCTGTTTTCATGCAAACCAGGGGTTCTAAAAGTATTGCTTATTAAATGTATAACAGCTGCATAGCTTGAGCAGTTGTGTTTTAGCTGTTTTATGAAAAATGTTGTGTTACCTTACAACACAAATATTTTATTATCGTATAAGGCACATCCATAGACATAATAATATGTCGTACTACAAACTGGTGAGGGTGAGGGTAACCGTTTAGCGCGGCGTTTTTCTATTCAAACTGGCCATCTGCGCTGGCGACCGCATTCCATTGACCTTATTGTACTTATTGTTATTTTATTGAAAGCAATTTGTGTACAGAAACAGTTTTTTTCATAATGTGTTAGTCTGCGATCCTCTGCCCTTCGTGCATGTGTTGTTTGGTATCGTTTGAATTTAATGTGATTTTTTCATACGGCTGTTTTAATATTGTACAATATTTTAATTTTTTTGTGTGTTTTTTTACTAATCGTTTGTATAAATTATTTTTTCGAAATGTCAATTCGACCCGATATACATTCCCAAACGAAAAACACAATATACAACGTGTATATATTTTTTAAAAACTTAGCTAAGTGCAAAGACAAGCCGGAATTGGCCGATTATTTTCGACAATCACAGGAGAGGACGGCCGATGCTTGTGCTGTAAGTCTGAGAACTGTACAACGGATATGTAATGAAAGCAAAACAACAGGAAATCAAGATGAATCAGTATGCGTCGTAAGTCCTAATGACCTTAAATTTCAATCACCACGAAAGAGGTATAGTCGTGAGAAAACTGTCACTGAATTAGATGATTTTGACAATGAAGTGGTCAGAAGAGTTGTCCATAGCTTTTACGACAAGGGTGAGTTTCCAACAAGTGCTAAAATATTATTGGAACTGCGTGAAAAATTAAATTACCGTGGATCAAAATCGTCGGTGAAAATAATTTTAAAACAACTTCATTTTAAGTACAAAAAATGTAATGACGGTCGCAAATTCTTGATGGAACGGTCCGATATTGTAGCTGCGCGCGTTAAATTTCTTAGAAAAATGAACGAGTTTCGAAGGAACGGTGATACTCGGCCGGTAGTCTACTTAGATGAAACCTGGGTCAATCAAAATCATACTCGTGGACGTATTTGGCAAAATGAAGAAAATACGGAAGGCTTAAAAGTACCTACAGGCAAAGGCAGTCGCCTCATCGTATGCCACGCCGGATCTCCTTCCTTCGGATTCATTAAAGAATCAAAACTTATTTTTAGATGTAATTCTGGTGACAAAGATTACCATTCGCAAATGAACGCCACAATTTTTGAAAGTTGGTTTTCACAAATGTTACTTAGCTTAGAAGAGCCGAGTATCGTTGTGATGGATAACGCGTCGTATCATTCTTCGTTGGCCGAGAACTATCCGAAGTCCAACAGTAGAAAAGCAGATGTTCAACGGTGGTTACGGGATAAAAATATAGATTTTTCTCCCGTAGAAACACTTGACGAGTTACGGGAAAAAGTGAAACTTTCGATGCCACGCGGAAAAAATATAAACTGGATGAACTAACTTTCCAAATGGGTCATGAAGTGGTAAGGCTTCCCCCTTACCACTGTCAGTATAATCCAATAGAACTAATTTGGGCCCAAGTTAAAGGCAGAGTGGCTGAAAAAAATTCAACATTCAAAATTGCAGATGTCGAGACACTTGTGCATAAAGAAATCGATGCAGTTACTCCGGACGATTGGGCAAAATGTGGAGAACATTGCGTCAAGATTCAGGAGGAGGACTATGCCAAGGCGGGACTAAGGGATGAGATATTAGAACCGATAATATTGACCATTAATCCGGACGAAAGCAGTTCAAGTGAAGATGAAGATGATGAGGACTAGATTATTTTGATTCTGAAAAATAATTTTTATGTAAATATCATTATAGTAGTTTTAAATTGCATTACTTAGTTATTAGTTTTTAAATGTACATACATATATAATTGCGTAAAAAATTAAAATATTCATATTATGTTTTACTATTATATTATTTACTTGTTAGAGAATGTGATAATTAATAAATAATAAGTTTTATGTACAGAAATATCGTATGTTTAGTTTTTATTACAATTCCGAAGCTTTTAAAATTATTTTACGCGGGAATGTAGTCTTGGAAACACTGACGGAAATTTACCACAAGGCGCGCGACGGTCACCCGCCTAGTTTCGCTGGCCGCACTATAGTTATTGTTGTGATGGGTTTCCGCCGATAAGGCACAGAATGTTCTAGAAGAGAACCCCACCCCCCGCCACCGTACCATGATAAACCGGCTCTCGCCGCCGGCAATAAAGGCCACCGCCTCGGGGAGTAGTAGTGTGCATCGTATCGCACTGGACAGTTCGCGAGCTATCTCAAGTTTCGTCGTACGACGCGAATTGCGTCGGCCATCATAATATTGTTGTTCGTTGTTGCCGCGGTATATGTTGCCGTTTAATAAAAATATAATATTCGTTATGTTCGAATCGGTTGTTAGCGGCATGTGGTTTTGGGTCCGTAGTTGCAACGAGCAGTCCTCCGGTGTGTGTTATTATTAACTGTTCGGTCTTTAAAGTGCACGCGGGTGCACGTAAAGCTCAACGAACGGGTCAGTGGTGATCGTGCGCGGGCACGATTCCATCGTTAACCTACCAAAGTACGTCGGACATTCGGGCAGCCATCAGCGTATGGGTCGCGGGACCTGAGCGGGGTAAGCAGACGTCGGTACGGTTTTCATTGTGTGTATGTATATATACATATACAAGATACCTGCACGTATTCAGTTATATGGACATCTTATGGAGTGTGAACAGTCGAGCGGTCGGCAGTAACCAACATTCAACAACCGGTAACGCGATATCATAACTGATACGCGGTTTATTTATTGTATTATCACATTATCACTTGTATCATTATTTATATTTGTTTTGATTGATATTATATCATCATTTTGTATTATAGCCTCTGTGGCATTTATTATGTTATTATAATTTTACGGTATTAGCATTATTCATTAATTATTATTCTCGGTTGACGAGCGATTAGGCATTATTATATTATATAGTAGGTGGGCGCCTACATCCCTATTTTCATATGTAATTATTATTATTATTATTATGTGTAAATATTATCCATGTCTGTGATGTTGTGTGATGTACTATTATAATACAGTCCACTTGATATTTTTACCAATCCGAATTCGTTGATTATTATTAGTGTTAGAATCCTAATCATTTTATAACACATATTATTAAAAACAAAAATTAAATTACACGACACAACAATTGTAAAAAAAACTCTATAATCTGCTGCACTGCTGATCCCCACATCAAAAAGTTCACCGGCGTCCGGCAAAAATAAATTCACTTCTCTCACAACCTCTGATTGAGCCAAGCGTCGGAAACATCACGTTCCTTCGAAGCTCCAGCACCAAACCTTGTGTACACCGAAGCTAACACGACAGACGTGATTGTTTCCATTTCACGACTATCTTACAATTGAACCATGATGCGCTAAGACGACTTAGCGGGGCTGTCGGGTGCCCAAAAAGGAAATTGCGGCTTGTAGGTCACAGCCTGAGTGTCCCCCTCAGGTCTGTGGGTGGTTTATATTGCCCTAAAAAAGCCTTATATCCTCACAGGCTCTATCAAAAGCAACAACACTGAGATGCAAGCGGCAAGGAGTCAGCAAGCTGCTGGTCCTTGACGCGAAGAAAGTGGTGTCGATCCTCACGCAGAACCTGAATACGGAAGTCAGTGAGTCTAATAATATCGTATTAGACGCCATCTCAAGCACAGGCGCAAGGTTAACCCGAGCAAACGAGGCCGGCGACTCCGACAGATCTGGCGGCACCGACCGCGCGGAAGTCAAGGCAGCAGTAGCCAACCTGCAGACGATGCTCGAAGCGCAGAATGCTAAGATGGACGAGATAGCTGAGCTGGTTAACCAGTTGGACGGATGTTGTCAGGAACAAGAGCAAGAAGAAGGAAAAAGGCGACAAACCAATTGCCAAACCAGCCGAGCCGGCGTCGACCCAGAGTCGGGTATCTCGCCCCCCCGGCCATCCTGGTGGACGTCAGCAAGGAGGACTTCCCTGAGCTGGCTAAGAAAATCCGTGGTGAGGCATGTCGTGATATTATTGGGAACCGTATTATGGGGATGAGGCAAGCAAAGTCCGGCGGCCTCCTCATTGAGGTGCGTGGTAACCCCGACGAGGTGTCCGTGGTGAGAGCGGAGATTGCGAGATCCGCAGGAGCCGAAATTGGCGTCAGGACCCTACAGCAGAGGGAGTTGTTGGAGATCAGGGACCTGGACCAATGGTCAGATGGACCCGAGGTCCACGAAGCCATAGAATCGGCCTCAGGGTGCGACTCAGGTACACTAAGGCTCGTCAGTCTGCGGAAGCGCTTCGTCGGAGCACAGCTGGCCTTGGTCTCCGCCCCCAAGGAAGGAACGCAGGCAATTCTAAGTCAAGGTCGGCTGAGGGTGGGCATGGTGAGCTGCAGTGTCAGGCGTTGCTACGAGAAAGTCAGGTGCTTTCGGTGTGAGACCAAGTCGTGCCAAGGCCCGAATAGGACCAAGTGCTGCAGGTGCTGAAGACACGATGGTAATTTCGCTAACAATTGTGAGGCTACCCAGGAGGACTCTCTGTCCTTTGCAAAGTCACTGGCCAGCAAAGCCAAGCTAGCAGTGTTGATGTGAAGGCGGCCGCTGAAACCACTCAACCACGATTGTTGGTACTCCGACGCCAGTGGACGCCAGCGATCGTCGTCCTGACTGCTCAACACATCCAAACCGTAGGATCACACCAACATGGCTTTAGGTGGATTCAGTTGAACGGCTACCGGCTGTGTAGCTGCTACTGCTCTCCTAACGTTATCCTATCCGACTTCGAGGACTTCCTGAGCGCGCTCGAGACGAGCGTTCGAAGCTCACCCTGCCCGACCATTATTACCGGTGAATTCAACGCAAAATCGCCGGAGTGGGGCAGCCCTAGAGAAGACAACAGGGGGAAAGCACTGGCCGATCTCTCCGCTTCTCTCGGACTGACTGTGTGCAACCAGGGCCAACCGACGTTTGTCAGGGGGGCATCGGAGTCGCACATCGACCTCACCCTCGTGACGCGGTCTGCGACGTGCTGGGTCCCCGACTGGAAGTTCCTCGACGAAGAGTCCTTGAGCCTGCACAAATACGTCGAGTTCAACGTCAGGATGGCAGGCCAGTGAGGGCAGGAGCCTAGCGCTTGCAAGGGGTGGGCCTACCGGAAGCTGGATCGGGAGAAGCTGACTGAGGCTCTAAAACGTGACGTTTAGCGCTTGGCACCCACGGCAGAGGCCGCGTGCCGGAGGCAGTCGACTAGCTGACGCGAGCGTGTGATGCAAGCATGCCAAAGTCCGGCAAGGCGAGACGACGTCCCGTCCCCTGGTGGACAACAGACCTCGCCGAGCAGAGGGCGAGATTCCACAAGGCTGGGGAAATCTATACTTGCCCGAGGAAGAGGACTGACGACGCTGGGTGCGCGGCGCAGCTGGCGGCCTTCAGGTCCGTTCGTAAGCTCCTGGTAGCAAAGGTACGGGTGGCAAAGGAGGAAAACTGGAGAAAGTTGTGTGACCTCTTCGACAACGACCCGTGGGGCCTCCCGTACCGCATCGTTATTAAGAAGCTGAACTGGAGGAGAACAATCCCAGGGATCGACTCAGCGCACTCTTCCCCATGAAACCCCTGTGCGTGAGAGACGTCAAACCGGTCAGCCAGGAGGACCTCGACCGGGTATGCTTCTCGGTGGCCAACGTGAAAGCGGCAGCGAGGAGACTACCGAACGGCAAGGCGCCAGGGCCTGACGGAATCCCGAATGAAGTGCTGAAGGTCACGGTTGGTCTTTTTCCTCAGTTCTTTACAGCGCTGTTCAACAGCTGCAAGAGGAATGCGTACTATCCGCCGGAATGGAAGACCGCTAACCTCGTGCTCCTGCGCAAGCAGGGCAAGGCGTTGGACAACCCTTCTGCGTACCACCCCCTGTGCATGCTCGACTCTGTGGGCAAGTTGTTTGAGAAACTGTTGACGGGGAGGCTGCGCAAGCACCTAACGGAGACTGGTCAGGCGGTCAACAGCATCATGCTGAGGTCCAACTCGGACTGGCAGATAGATAAAATCTTAATTTTTTTCTGATCGATCAGTATTAGAAAATTGACATTTTTATATCAAATATTTGCAAATTATTTTATACTCAAACATTCAAAGCGTGTTCAATTTTCATACATAATATTTGAAAATTAAATACAAAGTTTCTAGTAAGTATTTGTTACTCTAATTATAATATGACAATTTGAGTGCAGTTTATTAATTAAATTTGAATAAATAATATGAAACTTGTGAGAAATATTGTACTACATGTTTCTTCCTTTAAAAAAAAAAAAAAAAACAACCGAAAAGAATCGAATATATCACTTGAGTAAATAATTAGTATGCAAATACAATTATACACTCCACAGATGCTTTTTAAACATATGTTTAATCGTCAATCGATATTATACATGGCCTAGCAGAATTTGGCATAGAAATAACTGTAAATGGTTAAATTTTAGCTTTTATAATTAATGCGGGTATATATATATATATTATATACATACTTTGATAGGTTGCCTAATATTAGTGTTTAAATTTTAGTAATTCTTAAACTAAATTTAGTTCATTAGGAACTAACTGTATTCAGTATTATAGAGGGCTTGAAACCGGGAATATCTTTTCCGATTTCGATTTGAAAGATTGATTTTGAAATATTATAAATATTATAATAATTTTCGTAAAAATGTAGATGTACCTAAATCAAAATTCTAATAAGTAGTTTCTGTGTTATTAAAATGTTTGCACTAGGAATAATAATCCTTATTTAATATAGTTTTACAAAAATTGAAAAATATAAGTTATGTGTAAATAATATTAAGGTAGATGTACTATGTGGTATTCATTATACTTGGATAATTTTTTCAAATTATTTATATATTGATAGATGAATAGTAATAATTACTAAAATGTTCAAATCATCTAAGAAACAAAATATACCCAACCCGTTTCCATAGTCATATTATCCTTAATACACTCAAGTTATTGGTAGAACTACAATACTAATGGTTCAAATTTTGATTAGATACATCAAAATACCCAAAACGAATATCTGCTTAATCATTAAATGTGAAAAAGTGGGGTTAATATTAGAAAGACAGAAATTTGTACTATCGCAGGATCATCCTTAATTGGTAAAAAATCATAAGTATTCAAAAATATGGTCTTCGTGTGTATATATTTAAAAATTCTAAAAATCAGAATTTGATTATATATTTAATTTAAGCATAAAATATTGTGAGCAATGAGCATGCTTATAATTCATTTTATTATACAGATATGCTTATAATTCCTTATTTGTATTTTAAATGATCTCATTATAAATTATAATTTCAAGTATTTAGTAGTTTAATAGTTTAACACTACCAAAATATTTTTTTCAAGCACTCATTATTAGAAAATTCACGAATTTCTTAATTTAAGTATTTTTTTTTCATATACGAACGACTCCCCACATTAATTCCCTGTCTATGGCACTGTATGGAATCATGCATTGAATGTAATGTTAAATAAACATTATATACACATGTATTAAGACAAATAATAAACGGAGAATAACGTTTAATAGCATATGGAAAATAATATTATTCTCATTTATGATAAATAAATAAACCACCTACTAATAATTGTAAACATTATTTATTTTGTGTTGAGTGGTTATGGAATAGGTGCATATTGCTTATAAAAGAAATCCAGAAATACTATTTTCTTTCATTAATTGTTCAACGTTCACATTATTTTAATTATTTTTTTATACCTATTACATAAAACAAAATGATTTTTATAAAGAATAGTTTAATGACGTTTATAATTTTAAGCGTAGCAATTTGGGTTATGCCAATTACTTCAAATAATAAAGATTTCATAAGTAAGTGTTAAATAATTTATTGATAAATTACGATTATATTTATATTATAATTTTGTATTGTGTCGATATTAATTTTAAGCAGTGATTTTCAATTATTTTTATAATTCATTAAAAAACTATAAAACCAAATACTATTATATTACCTATGATAACTTTAGAGAAAACCCAATTGCATGCTTTTTAATAAATTTGAATTGTGTTCAATACTACGATGTAGGTAGTAAAATATTGTTAATTAATATTGTGATTTAAAAAAAAATTAGATATATTTTTGATTTATGAGAAAACATAACATTTTCATTGCATTTAATTTCTGTAGTTTAATTTATATATCCAGCTTAAGTATATTAATATAATATTATTATTACACATTCTATAATTCATTTAATTTATTTGACACATTACAGAAATATTATTTTTTATAACAATAATTTTATTTATTTTCTACATAGATTTAGAACATAATTCATAAAATATTTGTTTAAAAATTGAATGATTTTTCTAGCTATACAAAACTATTAAACGGATATATAAATTTTTTTATAGTTATTATAATGTGAATTTTATTATATCGTAATTTGTAGGTTGTAAATAAATAAGATGGTCTAATACAAATATGTTGTTTTATTTTTAGGAGAATGTAATGGTAATATTAGAAATTAATAATTAATAAACGAATAGGTACCTAGTAAATACTTAACTTTAAATATTTATGATATTCCATATAATTAAAAAAATGAAAAGGTTGATGTATTATATTGTCTATTCTTAAATTATGTTTGAGATTAATGACCATTTTCCCTACTGTCCGTTTACGAATACAATACGTTTCTGAATCTATTTTTGATAAGCGTTTATTTCCATTTTAAAGTCCAATTTTGGAACGAAGTTCCTTATGGGGCGTTAGGTGGATGGGAGTCGCTGGAAAAAAATCGCAACACCAAAAAGCGTAACACCGAAAAGCGTAACACTGAAAAATTGCTCGGCTCGGCTCGGCTCTGCTCGGCTGCCGGCTTACATATCCCCTCCCTCCTCTCATATTATCGTATGTCCCCACTAGGATCGTACCATCTGGCAACCGGGTTCCATTCGCGTAGGCTACCCAACATCGGTCGTCACGCGCGTAGAGGTGACCGTCGGGCGGAATGGGGGGGACCCATTAAACGAGTAATTATTTTTGACGAAGCATAACTTAGCCGGTATTCGACTTAGAGACCCCGGACCAATGGGCATCTCAATTTTTTAGGCCCCAGATGAATTTTCAACATTAGGGAACCAAAGCCCCCACCCCCCCACATTTTTAGTTGAGTGTAACTCGGCCGGAATTCAAGTTAAAGACCTCGGACCAAGGGGGAACCCATTCTTATTATGAAGACAACAGTTTTCCTCTTTAGGGAACGGGGGCACCTCCTCCCCCCTTTTGGATTTTGTTTTTTTGATGGATTTTGGTCCGGGAGAGTACTAACACCCACCTCGCCAAGGGGAAACTCGGGGTTTTGAGTTTTTGATGGGATTTATTGGGATTTTCATAAATATTGTTTTTATTGATAAGGAAAGTGATAAGAATTTTATTTTCAAAATAATTTTTGCCCCTTAAATTTATAAATTCCATTGTGATTTCCATTTACCTTCTTCTCTATATACATACAAATCTATTAAACAAATGAAATTAAAATTTACTTTTGAAAAACGATAATCGAGTACAAGCTGTATCAACCGTATCATTATTAAAATTTCTTTCAGTAGAATTGACTTAACCATCAATAGGTTTTTTTTTTTTTTTCTTTTTATTGGATAACCCGCGGCAACATAGGCCATTGGGTGTTGGGAGGGAACTGTAGGTTTTTAGATTGGGTAGGTTGGTACACGTGTGTGTTTGTGGTGGCAGAATTTTTATTGGGGCACCCGTAGGTTTCTGCCATGCCCCGGGTTGGGGGATGGCGGCACTTGTACTCCGGACACCGTGACTTGCCCGGAGAAAAATGCCGCCCAGTGGTCGAGAGGCGAACCCGCGACTGCCAGCGCCGCAGTCGACGCGTTAGACCTACTGATTAATTTCATAATTGCTTTGTACTTTTATAATGATTAAAATACCATTTTTTCATAATACTCAGAAAAAATTTATTATAATTTTATTACCATGCGCGCGATATATTTATACAAGCATTCATTTCTCTCTCTGTCTCTCTCTCTCTATCACTATTTATTTATATTTTTCTAACCATATATGTTTCCGCGTCTCGCATCACATGCACTGAACTTCGTTCCTGCCGAGTGTTCAACAACACTCACTGTTTGTTTTTTTTTATTCATAAATTATAGCTATACGAAAGTTTCTTCAAAAGTGTGTATTTGTAGTATTTACATCACCGAAGTTGTTAGGTATATAAATACTATACCTACTTCACAAAAAATAAAAAATAATTTTTAATAAAATAATCTAAAAGTAATATTTTTTTTTTTTTTTATTTATCAATAAAAATTTACAATTTACAATACAAAATTTGAAATTTACAATAGTTGATTATCTATCTCTTTTAAGCATAGCTTGAGTTAGAGATAGAGAGTGTAACAATGCTGTTCTAATAAAGGATCAAAAATAATAATAATATACAATTATATAAATAAATAAAATGTGTACAGTTTAGTTAGTTTTTTAAATAAAATAATTTTAAAATAAAATTATACATTTTCAAGTTTAATACTTGAAAGTAACTATCTATTAATAAATTCAAAATACAATAATAATTAAACTAACTCTAAGAATAAATACTTATAAACACATTGTTTAACACTACTTTGATGCTGATGGATGTTTTTTTTATACTCATATGGCATTAAGTTGAAATACGTAGGCCCCAAATAGTCCACAAATGATTGACCGAAAGATTTTTTTGGATATTTGACGGGTATATTATAAACCAAATTTTCTCTTTTATTTTCAGAAAAAGTGTTATTTTTCCCCTTTATTAATTGTTTGAAAATAAACATGATTACTATTTTTTTATAGAGGAATTTTACTGGTAGAACACCCAAATCCCTATAGTTTCGACCCTTCAAGAGCATACTTATTCAAACATATTCTAACTATTTTATTTTGATTTACTTGTAGCTGTTTTAAAAAAACATTCACCTAGTCCACCCCATATTAATAACCCATACTGATAAATCGACTGAT